CCTGGGGCTTGCTGGCCAGCTAGTAGAACTAACTTGGTGAGCTCCAGGTTCAGTAAGAGAACCTGTCTCGAAAAATAAATGAATAACACAGGTGGGGCACCAAGATGGCTCAGTGGGTAAAGGCATTTACTATCAAGTCTACCTAACAATCTGGGTTTCGTTCCTAGGGACCCACATAGTAGAATGGAGAACCAACTTCCCCAAGTTGTCTTCTGACCTCCACAAGCACACTGTGACACACATGTGCTCCCATTCACACATACATTCTCTGTCTCTGTCTCTCTCACCACACACTCACACACACACTCCCATTTCAAACATATGTGTTCTCTCTCTCTCTTTCTCTCTCTCTCTCTCTCTCTCTCTCTCTCTCTCTCTCTCTCTCACACACACACGCACCACACTAAATAAAAAGATTAGAGAGAGAGAGAGATGGTAAAGTTTATAAGTTCAGGATTAACAACTAATAATAAAACATAATAATATACCATAGTAAACAATATGTAACTGTATTCTATCTCTCCCTTCCTTCCTTCTTACCTCATCTCTCACGAAATACTTTCTAAGCTTTCAGCTCTTACTTAAACCAGTGGTTCTCAACCAGTGGGTCATGACCCTTTGGGGGGTCACATATCAGACATTTACATTACGATTCATAACAATAGTAAAATTATAGTTATGAAGGAGCAGCAAAATAATTTATGGTTGCGGGTCACCACAACATGAGGAAGAGTACTAAAAGGTAGTGGCATTAGGAAGGCTGAAAACCATCAACTTAAATCCTCTGCAGCTTCTCTTTGGCTTATGAGAATTATTAGTATGTCTGTTTATGCCTTGGAACTGAAACTCAGTAAAATGAGTGTTATTTGAAAATGAGCACAGCGGCAGCCCATGTAGTCAAGATGGCTATCAACTGACTAACGGGAATGTAGCGTAACCCTATGGAAATGCTGGGCAAAGTCACAATCATACCACAGAAGGGATGGTGCAAAGTTTTGTCAACTACTTAAAATGGTGCACTTTTAAAATGTGAATTCTAGGAGCTTGGGGAATTTTCTGATACGTGTGTGCATGTGTATGTGTGTGTGTGTGTGTGTGTGTGTGTGTGTGTGTGTGTGTGCGCGCGCGCGCGCGCACATGCATATTCATGTATATAATGGTGTACATGTGTCCAGGTGAGCATATTCATGTGTCCTTGCATGAGGAAGGAAGAGTCTATAATACATAATGGGTAAGGTGGGTGCTGTGTAAATGTCCTTAAGAGAGTCATGTGACTCGTGGTCCAACGCCTTTTAGGGAGTCTCTTTACTCACTATTCCACGCTCATTGTTCAGAATGTTTGTTTCTACTCCTAACTACGTCACTGATCTACTCATTACACTCAAAACACAAACAAGAACCTGGTTACTTCAGCAGATACACAGGGACTCTGATCTGCTCTGTGAAACCCTGCAGCCCACAAGTGAGTACAGACCTACCTCCCATCCCCACTGCATCTAGACCACAACCCAGCTCCAGCCCAAAACTCAAAAGGCCCTAGAAAATCCAAGCCCAAAGGTGGTCTTGCGTTCTACCGAGTCAATTCCTATTGCGCACCTTTCTCTAGGTCATTGCTCTGCAACTCTTTGTCCCTGAGTTGCCAGTATTCTCAAAATATTCCCAAGGGTAATGTTTTCACCCCTCAGTCATCTGTCTTCTCCACGGTCTCCTCCCGTGACATCCAGGTTTTGTCAGTTTGACACAAAACTTCTATATAACTGGGAAGGCAAACTCTTAGTTAAGAAAATGCCTCCATCGGAAATGACTGATGTGGGAGGGCCCAGCTCACTGTTGGTGCTGCCAAACCCTAGGCTTGTGGTCCTGGGTTCTGTTAAAAAAAAAAAAAAGCAGCCAGTAAGCTGTGTTCTTCCATAGTCTCTGCATCATCTCCTGCCTCCAGGTTTCTGACCTGTGGTCCTGGCCTGACCTCCCTAGATAACAGACTACAAACTATAAAATGAAATAAACCCTTTTCTCCCCAAGCTGCTTTTGGTCAAGCAGTTTATCACAACAATTGCAAGCTATCTAAGACATCCCCCAACTCCTACTACCCAAGAGTACTCCTCAGAAGTTCCCATAAAAACCTCACCCACAAGTCCCATTGCTCCTTCGAGCTCAGATAGGGGTAAAAATAAATAACACTTCCTCCCCTCCCTCCTCCTACCCTTTGTGTGCTAACCCATAAGCCACCCACTCCCTTTCTCCCATTCACTAGTCCTTCCCAGGGAATTTTACAACATGCGAATGAGGTCACTGCAGCCATAAACAGCTAATGAACTGCTCTCTTGGATATCAAAACACAATAAAAGCTAGCACTCAGAACAGAAATGCCCCAGGTACAGGAGAGGGAAGCAGAAACAATAACAGCCACAGGAAGGGGAGACTTTTTCTTTCCTAAAATCTTTCTCTTCCTCCTCTCTCTTTTCCTTCCATTTTTTTTTCCTTCTTTAGAATAGAATGTCTCCCAACTTCCCCTCTTGTTCCTTTTGCTTCCTTCTTCCCTTTTTCTGGGGTTGTAACGAGGGGTGGCCTCACATTTGCCACCCTCCTGCCTCAATCTTCCCAGAACTAGGATTACAGATGACTGCTACCACATTTAACTTGATTTCTGCCACAAACAGCATCAAGACCCACCCCCACGAGTCTCTAGGGTGCACAAAGTACCCCACAATGAATCACATCCATGCAGAGCTCCCCAGAGTCAAGAGTGGAAGATTTTCTACGCAGTGATAGTTAAACAGAAATGTTGCACGGAGATCATCTTATGTGTAGAGAGGATTTTAAGTACAAGACATGAAAAAGGCATGTAAAAATCAATTCAGAGCTCCTGATTAGAAGCCCCCATTGAGAGGCTGGTAGCATTGCCCAGTGGTATGGCTTAGTCCTCCCATGCACAAGGCTTTGGGAGTATGTCTTCAACACCACCACCATCATTCTCCAGTAGCTCTGAACATTCAAGAATATTTTCTCCACTGAACAAGAAGAGCCACAGATGAAATTGACAAAAGGATTAACAAGCTTCAAAGAAGAAAATTACAGATTAGATTCTGCCAAACTCACACAGGTTCTCAGACAAGGAAAGAGGGGAGCAGAGAAATCCTGAATGATAAACATGTTTTCAGAGGCTCTGCCCTGAAATCAAACACAAGCAGAGATAAACAGTCACAGTATAGGCTTAGCACCCACCCGAGGACTTTCTGAAAGACTTTTTTAAACAACTCTCAAAGGCCAGTTCTCTCCATTCAAGGCTAGGAGTCCATTTCACAGGTCCAACATTTCTGGAAAGCCATTTGGCAATCCAAATCTGGAGCCTCTGACCCAGAAATTTCCTTTCTGGAAAACAAGCCCAGAAGAAACAAACATGAAGCTGGAGAAATGGCTCAGCAGCTCAGAGCACTCGCTGCTCTTGCCAAGGATCTGGGTTCAGGTCCCAAAGCTCACAAGGCACCTCACAGCCATTAGGAACTACAATCCCAGGGGATCCAACGCCTTCTCCTGGCGTCTAAGGGTGCTCATGCGATACACAAACATTCTTGAAGGCAGAACACCCATGTATATATAATAAAATTCATTTTAAAAAATAAAACTTGAACCCTAAAACAGCCAAATTCTTTTTTAAAAAAAATGAAATAATCTAAGTGCCTCATAACTCAGAAGGCTAAAGATATGGAGGCAACAGATCCATGAAGGGAGTAGAGAGACAACTCAAAGGTAAAGGCATTTGCTCCCCCAGCCTGACTACCTAAGTTTATTCCTCTAGACCCATATATGTGGATGGAGAAGACCAACTTCTACAAGTTGTCCTCCAGCTTCCATGTGGGCCATGGAATACATGTGCACACTCATATACAGACACGCATGTGTACTCACGCACACACATACACACACACAAATAAAAATAAATAAATGTAAAAAATACTACTTTCAAAGTTGAGTTTTTACACATTTCTTTTTCTGAATATCTCTTGCAAACTGACTTCTATAAGCAGATAAGAAAAATATGCTACGTCAAATCCACACCCTTGCATAGTCTACTACTCAACCAAGCAGAGGCCCACAGGAACATTCACTATCCAGCAGAGGTGTGGCGAACAGCCCTCCCAAAAAATCTGCCCCCCCCCCTACTTATTTTGTAAATAAAAGTTTTTTGACATATAAGCCACACCCATGTCTTAACACCTAACTGTGGTTGCTTGCCTACTACAATGGCAGGGTTTAGTATATTCATTCACCTATCAGAGATTTCACTTCCCACAGTCTCAGTAACCCATAGTTAACTGTAAACTACCAAATGGAAGATTCCAGAAATAATCAATTCATATTTTTAATCATGTACTTTTCTGAGTTACACAATAAAATCTCAAGATGTCCTGTTCTGCCACACCTGATATGTGAATCAACTTCAAGTATAAAACTAGTTGTTAAAACAATGATGATTATATTCAAGTTACCTTTATTTTACTTAATGGTGTTTCCCCCAAATGCAAAAGTGATGCTTGTTATTTTATTAGAGAATATCATAATTACTCTATTTCAGTATTGGTTATGGTTGTTAATCTCTTACCAAGTGATGGTGTGTGTGTGTGTGTGTGTGTGTGTGTGTGTGTGTGCGTGCATGTGTCTATACACACAACATGCACAACCCTCAGAGGCCCAGGATGCTGGAAACTGAACATGAGTCTTCTAGAAGAGCAGGAAGTGCTCTCAAATGTTGAGCCATACCCCAACTGCCTCAGTTTATTTTTGTTAGGGTATTCTATCATAGCAATAGAAAAGTACAGATATCTACACACGAAAATGTACTGCACCACAGTGAAGTGTATCTCTCAGAGATAAGGGAGCGAGGGGTGAGTGTATTTTTTTAAGGAAAATTCTAGGGCTTGTACTCTGCAGCCTTCATCACCTAAACCTTTCCAGTGACCAGTAAGAAATGGCTTAGAATGGAGCTGCCTCCATCATACCTTTCTGACAATGACTGTGTGTCCAGCACCGTTCCACAAACTGCCCATTGATGACGGTAGCAGGGCAGTTGGTCTTGCCTTTGGCAGTGCCTGGACAGACATCCCCACACTCCTCATTGTCATCTTTGTTCAGCACGATGTAGTTGTCCTCCACAGAATCCAAGATCCGGGACCAGTCAATGGTGGCCAGGTAACAGAGCTCATTATTCTTCTCAATGCGGACAGAGCCCCGGGTGATGTTCATGAGGCTGTAGAGTCCCAGCTCCTTCAAGTGGACCATCTCAAAGATGACCAGGGCATAGTTGAAGAAGAGACGGGAGCCTCGGATGACTGTAAGGTTGGGGAAGAGGTCTTTCAAACTCTCCAAGCCATAGACACGAAAAAGAAGCAGGTAGTCTGTGATCATGATGAGTTTGGGGAAACTGAGGTCTCGGAAATCTTCGGGTCTGGTTTTGAACATCAGGAGGATCTGCAGATGGCCCTCGATGACTGAGCAGTTCTCCAGCTCATGCAGCCTGGTCAGGTTGTTCCTGATGTCCATGCCAGGGCACACTAAAGGGCAGACAACAGAAGCAAGGTAGATGAGCCAGGATTCTAGAACAGCTAATGAGGCCAGAGTCAGGGAGACAGCAGCATTTGCTGTACAGGCATGAAGACCTGACGCCCATGCCCAGGACCCATGTAGTAAGCTGGTACAGCAGCATGTGTCTATGAGGGCTTGGGGCATGCAGAGACAGACGGATTCCCACAGCTTATTGGCTACTTGTATCAATGAACTCCAGGTCAGTAGGATACCCAGTCTTAAGAAATAAAGTGGAGGGCTTCTAAGGAACAGTTGTCACTTGAAGTAGACTTCTGGTCTCTAATACACAACTGCGCTCACACGCTCACACACAAACACACACACACACACACACACACAGGGCTTATATATCCCAGAGCACTCTAGGTCAGCATATCACAGAGACTCCTGCACATCTATGCTCACTGCTGCTCTGCTCACAAAAGCTATATGTGAAAGCAGTTTAAATGGATGAATAATAAAGAAAATGTGGCACATATTGTAATATAGACATCTTCTCAATAGCCAAGTTATGGAACAAGCAATTGATAGATGAGAACTAAACTTTGGCTCAGCTTGTAGACCACTTGCCCAGCATGCATAAAGCCCCTTAGTTCCAGTCCCATCACATACTGGATATTGTGGTGCACACCTATAATCCAAGCATTTAGGAGGCAGAGACAGGAGGCTCAGGAGTTGAAAGTCATCTTTGGCTACATAGCAAATAAGAGGCCAACCTGGGTTATTTGAGACCCTGTCTTAAATAATAATAATAATGATAACAGACAACAAAGAAAATATGGCATGTAGACACAATGGAGTATTAGTCAGTCACATTATGAAATAATTACATATATTATATATGTGCATGACAGAAGCAGAAAGGAGAACAGTTGAGGTAAAGAAAGATGCCTTTGGGCAGAGGGCCAAGTAAGAATAATGGGGCAGGCAGAGGTGATGAGCAAGGTACAACCATATAGACACACAAAATGACAGATCTTGAAACCCATTCTTCAGTATACCAACCAAAAAGTTTAATGAAAGAAAAGGCCAGGACTCCTTTCCAATCTTCCTGGTTGTTAACAGAGACAGTGTCATGGTCAGTGTGAGCATGTGTGTCTCTTCCATATCCAGATTTCGTGAACTTTGTGGAGTTGCCCAGGAAAGAATGATCTGTTTCCAGGCTTTTAGGAGCCTCTATATTGGTTCCCCACTGACTATACCAGCAGACATTCCCATGGACAGTATGTAAGCGCTCCCCTTCCGTAATATTCTCATCATTTTGATAAATAGCCATTGCCATGAATATCCATCAGAGAAAGAATAGATAACGATATATGGTGTGCTAGGGGTGGTAGCCACTTGTAACAGCAATGATCAAGAGGCTAAGGCAGGAGGATTATGAATTTGAGGATAATCTGAGATGCATGGACTAGGCTTCAGGACATGGTTCAGATGTAGAGTCCCTGCCTAGAATCTGCCAATGAGGGCTCGGGTGTGGCTTAGGGGAAGAACCCTTGCCTAGAATCTCCCAGTGAGGGGCTGGAGGTCTGGCTCAGAGGTAGAGTCCCTGCGTAGAATCCCCAATGAGGAGATGGGACAGTGGTTCAGAGGTAGAAGCCCCTGGCTACTGTGCACAAGGCCTTCTGTCCAATCCCCATCAGAGAAGATGGGAAAGCTACAATTAGGGCCAGTGCCAGCTTTGTGGTCACCCACTGTGGGCTCTGCATTTCAAATTCCTAAGCCAGCCCCGATGAATGGCTTTCCCTGTAAAGCAACCATGCCTAAATAATTCCTTTCAAAAGGCAAAGAACATAATTCCTTTGGCTGGCCGAGTTAGAAGCCTTAACATAATCATAACCCTATCTATGAGGCAATCGGCTGACAGGAGGGTTGAGTAAGACATCAAGTGCAGAGGAAAGGGCAGCCGACCCCAGCCCAGGGCCCCTGAGCCTCAGCATGGAAGCTCTTCAGGAAGTGACTGACAGGAAAATGTACTCATATCAGAACAGGGCAAGGAAAAACTGAATGTCTTTGTTTTGTGTTCACCTACCTCCCTGGCTGGCTCTGCTTCCTTGGCCTGCCCTCCTAGCTGCCAATCAAGGTCTAATTACCTTTTACCTGGGTGTGGCAAGCGCTTCCCAGGAAACCCAACCTCCATCTCTTTGCTCAAACACAAAGGGAGTGCTGATTCTCCTAAGGGTGGGGGGCCTGCCAAGTTCCCACCCCCTCCACGCCTTCCCATGGCCCTGCAAGCCTGGCAATCATAGTCCTGGATATTCCTAAAATCCCTCCCACCCCTTAAGCCATGTGCGCTGGCTAGTTTTTGTCAACTTGACACAAGCTTGAGTCATCTGGGAAAAGGGAACCTCAGTTTAGAAACTGCCTTCATCAGACTGCCCTAGAGGCAAGCCTGTGGGGCATTTTCTCATTATTGACTGATATGGGAGGAGCCAGACCACTAAGGGTGGTGCCTCCCCAAGACAGGTGGTCCTGGATTGTCTAAGAAAGCCAGGAAGAGTAAGCCAGTCAGCTCTGCTCCTCCAAGGTCTCCACTTCAGTTCCTGCCTCTGGGTTCCTGCCTTCAGTTCCTGCCTTGACTTCCCTAGGTTGTGAAGATAGCTGTTGGTCATGGTGTTTATCAAGGCAACAGCAAACAAACTAGAACACGTGCTAAGCAGTTACTCTCTCAAATAGTTACAAAACTCCCTGTCCCCAATGCCAGATGACCTGTTGGGAGCAATAAAGGAAATGCTCAAGAGAAGGGCCCAGGCATTGAATGGTATGCAATAGGTGCTCAGCTCATGTCACCTGTGTTGATGTGTATTTTCCCTCAAATATGTAACATACATCTCTGCATGAGTCTGTTGTACGCACTCACAACCCCCACCTTCACCCCCAGCAAAAGACAAAGGTGTCATTCTTCCTCGCATGCCTTCCACTATCTTTTTGAGACAGTTCCTCTCTGACCTGGAGCTTGCTGAGTGGGCTAAGCTAGCAAGTCAGTGAGGCCCAGGACTCCATCTGTCTCTTCCACCCCAGCTATGATTATAAGTTTGAGCTGCCACTCCTGGATTCTTGGCTTCTGGGGAACTAATTCAGTTCCTTGTACTTGCAAGGCAAGTTCTTTATTGACTAAGCTGTCTCCCTGCTTCTATTTTAATCCTCCTCCTCTTCCTTGTCTTCCTCCTCTGTCCCCATGCTCCAGAGGAAAAGGCAAACAGCTTACCAGCTAAGCTACCTCCCCAGCTCCTACTGGCTACTCCCAGCCTCAACCTCCTAAGCACTCAAATCACAGGTGTGCCCTACCACACTCTGCTTAGCTCCAGGCCATGATCCCTTAGAGCCATTCAGAAGCCACCTACTTCAGCAGCCCTCCCTGATTGTCCTTCCTGTGAAGACCTCTATGAGTCTCCCCTTCTTTGTGTTCCTTCTATATGAGTTAGCATTTGTCAGAACCAAACTCCTTAGATAGCATTTCCCTACCAACCAGAGCCCTCTGCACCCATAAAACCCCTGTTTATTTTATTTTATCCCAAAACATCCAATATCTTTGAGGCAAAGAGACTCTTACCCTGGAGCCCCTGCGATGGCTCATCAGATAAAGGTGCTTGCTACCAAACCTGACAACTGGAGTTCGATCCCTGGGCCTCACAAAACAAAAAGAAACATCCTCTAACCTCCATATGTACACCGTGGGATATACATACATACATGTACACACACACATGCATGTATGCATGAACGTGCATGCACATATACACATACCAGTTAAGATAAAAGGAACAGATAGCTTGATCCTGGCAAAATAATGAATCCCTGTCTCAAAATGAAAGATTCCAAGCTGGAGAGACGGCTCAGTGGATGAAATGCTGCCTTGTAAGCCTGAAGACCTGATTATTCCATCCCTGGGTAGTGAGCACTTAGAATTTCTGCACTGGGAAGGTGAAGATAGGGGCTCCCTGGAGATCACTGGCTAGCCAGGCTACCAAGGTCCAGAACAGTGACAGACCATGTCAAAAAAAAAAAAAAATAGGGTGTCTAAGGGACACCCAAATTTGCCATCTGACTTCCACATAGATGTGCACATATGTGTAAGTATATACACACTACACACAGGCATGCACACATACACACCTACACATGCACACATGCAAATATACATGAACACACATACACAAAAGGATAGGGTAATCTAATCTGAGAATGACTCACAAAAGACGCAAAAGTGACTTGGGGAAGTACATCCCAAAGGTCTTGGATTTGGTGTTCTTGCTTCACAACCCTCACAGAGCACATTAAACTCTATTAAAAGAAAAGCCACACACTTATTCATGAGAAAGTTAGAAGCCCCAGCCCCAGGCAGGAGTAAAACTGCCACCTTGCCTGACACACTTGCCAGCCAGGCTCTGAGCAGAGCTGAAGGCCCTCTGCAGTGGTGAAGCCTGGGCTGCCAGACAGCTTTGAAGAGACCAGTACATCAGCTCAAATTCCACATAGTCGCACGAAGCAGATCTGAGGTTCCTGACACCTCAATGGTTTTCAAGCATGGACATAGTGACAGGCAGAGACCCATAGACATACTGTGTCAACAATACTCTTGATTGACAAGTGGACAGGATCTAGAAGCACACAGGGGACAAGCCAGTGTTGTGAGGAAGTCTCTACATTGGGTTAACTGAGGTAGGAAGACCTACCCTGAATGTGGGAGGTGCCATCCCACAGGCTGGGCTCCAGGACTAAATAGAGAGAGAGCAAGTAATGTTACAAAACTTAGTCAGGGGCTAGGGAAACAGCTCAGGGGTAACACTCCTGCAACACTCATCCTGCAAAATGTGAGGAGCAGAGTTCTGATTCCAGCACTCACAAAAATGATAGGCAGGTATGACAGCCTGCCTGTAATCCCAGCACTTGGGAGATGAGGAAGAGGATGCCCAGAACAAGCTGGCTTGATAAACTAGATGAATAGGTGAGTTATGAGTTCAAATGA